GGTGTGCAAAAGAAAAAAATTAAAGGGGAATACAGGAAAGGGGTAAGGTTATGAGGATAACAAAAAGATTAGGTGATGAAAGATTGAATATCAGATTGGAGGGAGAGAGTATGGAAAAGGTGAACGTATTCAGATATTTGGGAGTGGACGTGTCAGCGGATGGGTCTATGAAAGATGAGGTGAATCATAGAATTGATGAGGGAAAAAGAGTGAGTGGTGCACTTAGGATTTGTGGAGACAAAGAACTTTTTCCTTGGAGGCAAAGAGGGGAATGTATGAAGTATAGTTTAACCAACGCTCTTATATGGGTGTGAAGCGTGGGTGATGAATGTTGCAGCGAGGAGAAGGCTGGAGGCAGTGGAGATGTCATGTCTGAGGGCAATGTGTGGTGTGAATATAATGCAGAGAATTCGTAGTTTGGAGTTAGGAGGAGGTGCGGGATTACCAAAACTGTTGTCCAGAGGGCTGAGGAAGGGTTGTTGAGGTGGTTCGGACATGTAGAGAGAATGGAGCGAAACAGAATGCCCTTTAAGAGTGTATCAGTCTGTAGTGGAAGGAAGGGGGTAGGGGGCGGCCTAGGAAGGGTTGGAGGGGGGGGGTAAAGGAGGTTTTGTGTGCGAGGGGCTTGGACTTCCAGCAGGCATGCGTGAGCGTGTTTGATAGGAGTGAATGGAGACAAATGGTTTTTAATACTTGAGTGCTGTTGGAGTGTGAGCAAAGTAACATTTATGAAGGGATTCAGGGAAACCCGGGAGGCCGACTTGAGTCCTGGAGATGGGAAATACAGTGCCTGCACTCTGAAGGAGGGGTGTTAATGTTGCAGTTTAAAAACTGTAGTGTAAAGCACCCTTCTGGCAAAGACAGTGATGGAGTGAATGATGGTGAAAGTTTTTCTTTTTCGGGCCACCCTGCCTTGGTGGGAATCGGCCAGTGTGATAATAAAAAAAAATATATATATATATATATATATATAGTTATTTTGTGTCCTTTTTATCTGTGTATTTCCTAATATTTATTTATTATCGTTATTATTGTTATTATTTTGTTATTAATGCCATTAATAAAAATTTATTAGTAAATAAAAACGGATGGAATAATTGCAAGAAGTTGTCTTCAGTAGATATTATTTGTCTGTCTGTCTTCCGTCTGTCTGTCTGTCTGTCTGTCTGTCTGTCTGTCTGTCTGTCTGTCTATCTGTCTGTCTGTCTCTCCTTGGTTGTCTCCATTCTTCTCTCCTTCTCTCCTTCCGTTGAGAGATGGAAAGTGAAAGCAGAGAACGAGAGAGAGAGAGAAGAGAGAAGAGAGAGAGAGAGAGAGAGAGAGAGAGAGAGAGAGAGAGAGAGAGAGAGAGGGGGGGTTTTCCCCTAAATTAAAAAAGGGATTTTTGTGTCCTTTTACGGATCCTATTTTATAATTAAAAAATTTTTTTAATATTATTTTTGGATTACAAATAAATTTATGAAATTAAAAAAACCGGAAAGGGGGAATAATTGCAAAGGATTTTTGTTCATTTTAAAAATTATGTCCCCCCTTCTGCCGTTGGGGTTGGGGGGGTTTTTCTTTTCCCCCCTGTTTGGTAATGGGCATTGTTTTTTTTTTTTTGTTATTTTTTCCCTTTTTTCGTGTTTTAAATTTTTTTAAAAACGAAGAAAGAAAGAAAAAAATTTTTAAGAAAAAAAAAGGAGGGGAATAATTTGAAGAAGGCCAGAAAAGCTTTTGGGGGGGGGCGGGGGAGGCGGGGCCCCTTTTTTTTTTTTGGGGGAGAGAGGAAATTTTGAAAAGAGAAAAAAGGGAGAGAGAAGAGAGAGAGAGAGGGGAGGAGAGAGAGAGAGAGAGAGAGAGAGAGGAGAGAGAGGAGAGAGAGAGAGGGGAGAGAGAGAAGGAAGAGAGAGAGAGAAGAAGAGGAGAGAGAGAGAGAAGAGAGAGAGAGGAGAGAAGGAAAAAAAGGGGGAGAAAGAGAAAGAGAAAGGGAGAAGAGAGAAGAAGGGAGGAAAGAAAGGGGGGAGAGAGAAAAAGGGAGGGGAAAAGGAGGAAGAAGGGGGAAAGGGGGGAAGAAAAGAGGGGGGAAAAGAAGGGTGGGGAAAATTTTTAGGGCAAAAATTTTTAAAGGGAGGAAAAAAAAGGAGGTGAATTTTGGGTACAAGGAAGGGGAAGTGAAGTAAGGGAAGGGGAAACGGGGGGGAAGAGGGGTAAGGGTTGGGGTGTGAAACAGGGAGTGTTTGTAGGGTGGGGGAAAGAATGGCGTGGTGTGTGTTCTGTGGGGTGGTAGGGGTTTTATTTGTATTGGGTAGGCATTGGGTGTGGTCGGGGGTAGTGGGGTACTGGTGTGTGGAAAAGTGGTGTGGGACAGTGGTAGTGGGTTTAAGTGGTAGTGGGGGTCAGTGGTAGTGTGGACAGTGGTGTGTGGTACGTGTATTGGGGTCATGGTAGTGTGGTCAGGGAAGTGTGGTCAGTGGTAGTGTGGTCAGTGGTAGGGGTCAGTGGTATTTGGGGGCAGTGGTAGTGTGGTACAGTGGTGTTGGTACAGTGGTAGGGGGTTGGGGTGGTGCAGTGGTAGTGTGGTACGTTTGGGTAAGGGGGTTGGTGGCATGGGGGTTGGTAGTGTGGTCAGTGGTAGTGTGGTGCAGTGGTAGTGTGGTCAGGGTAGTGTGGTCAGGGGTAGTGTGGTCAGTGGTAGTGGGTACAGTGGTTTGGGTACGGGGTAGTGTGGTCAGTGGTAGTGGGGGTCAGTGGTAGTGGGTGCAGTGGTAGTGGGGTTTACAGGGGTGTGTGGTCAGTGGTAGTGTGGTCGTGGTATGTGGTGCAGGGGGGGCAGTGGTAGTGTGGTACAGTGGTATGTGGACATGGTAGTGTGGTCATGGTAGTGTGGTCGTGGTTTGGGGTGCAGGGGGAGTGTTGGTTTAGTGGGTAGTGTGGGGGCAGGGGTATGTGGTACAGGGTAGTGTGGTCAGTGGTAGTGTGGTCATGGTAGTGTGGTACGGGGTAGTGGGTACAGGGGTAGTGTGGTACAGGGGTAGTGTGGTACAGTGGTAGTGTGGTGAGTGGTATTGGGGGTACTGGTAGTGTGGTCAGTGGTAGTGTGGTAAAGTGGTAGTGTGTCAGGGGTAGTGTGGTACAGTGGTAGTGGACAGGGGTAGTGTGGTTACAGGGGTAGTGGGGGTACATTTGGTGTGTGGTAAGTGGTAGTGTGGTCAGTGGTAGGGGGTACAGTTTTTAGTGGGGTTTAAGTGGTATGTGGTACAGTGGTAGTGGTACAGGGGTAGTGTGGTGGGTTTTTTGGGTCCGGGGTTAGTGTGGTACAGTGGTAGTGTGGTACAGTGGTAGTGTGGTACAGTGGTAGTGTGGTACAGTGGTAGTGTGGTACAGTGGTAGTGTGGTACAGTGGTAGTGTGGTACAGTGGAGTGTGGTCAGGGTTGTGGTCAGTGGTATTTTTGGTCAGTGGTGTGTGGTACGGGTGGTGTGTGGTTTACAGGGTGTGTGGTCATGGTATTGGTCGTGGGTGGGAATGGGTAGGTGGTAAGGGATGTGGTGGGTAGTGGGGGAAGGGTGAGGTCGGGTATTGGTCAGGGTGTTTTACGGGGGGGGGGGGTGGGGGGGGGGGGGGTGGGGTTGGGGGTGGTGTGGTGCGTGTGTGTGTGTGTACCCCCTAATTGTACTCCCCAAATTGGGGTTTGCGGGGGTCGAGACTCAGCTCCCGGCCCCGCCCTTCCTGATCGCTACTGGATCCTCCTCTCTTGCTTTTCCGAGCTTTGTCATCCTCTTTTAAAAACTATTATGGTTCCTGCCCCCACTACTTCACTTGCTAGGCTATTCCCCTTGCTGAAACTCTATGATGAAGAAATACTTTCCCAAGTCCCTGTGCTCGTTGAGTCTTCAGTTCCAGTTGTGACCCTTGTCCCGTGTCCCCTCTCTGGAACATCCTATCTCTGTCCCTTTTTATTCCCGCAGTATCTTGTATGTCGATCAATCCCCCTGACCCTTCTGTTTTTCCGTGTCGTCAGTCCGATTTCCCCCAAACCCTTTCCCCGAGAATTCCCCCGAGATTTGGGACTAGCCTTGGGTGCAAAACCCTTTTTACTTTTCTAATTTTTTGACGTGCTTTACCCGGGGGGGGGGTTCCAGACTGGTGCTGCATACTCCAGTTGGGCCCAAATACACAGTGTCAGTGCTTGAAAGATTCCTTATTAGGTTCGGAACGCTATTCCAGTGTGTGTGTGTGTGGGTGTGTGTGTGTGTTGTGTTGTGTGTGTGTGTTGTGGTGTGGGTGTGTTGTGTGTGTGGTGTGTGTGTGTGTGTGTGTGTGTGTGGTGTAGTGTGTTGGTAAAAACCCCGTTGGAAAATGTCTAATTTGCACTCACGTTTAAAGGGGTAAATATTGCAGGTAGCTCTTGCCATTTTCAAAAAACCCTTTTCGGAACAAGTGTCACTGATACGTGAAGATTTCTTCCAAAGAATACCCATGGACTGCCTCAGCAAATGGAGTGCCAGATGACTGAGAAGGCTGGAGTGTACGTGTTTACATCTGTGTGGCACTGACAGGTGTGTAGCTTAGCATAATGACCTCATTACCTCAACACCTGCCTCCCAGTCGCACCTGATCAACTCTAACATCTGTCTTCTCCACCTCAACTGGTGTTATATAGAGTAACGAAGATTTTTTTTTTGCCTTCGTTAAATTATGATTTAAAATCTTATTTTAAATCCACTCAAAAATTACCCTGATAATTTACATTATGTTGTGTAGCTTGTGTATACGCCGTATGTATGTAAATGGATACATGCATACATATGTGCACATTTCAATTCGTTCACTTATACCTGGAGGGTGATCCGGGGGTCAACGCCCCCACTGCCTGGTCCTGGACCAAGGTTCATGACCTTGTCTAATATTTTTTCCTGTTCATTATCTCTTTCAGTAATATATAGAATAAGTATTTTAAAGAGAGAGAGAGAAAGAGAGAGCGATCTACCAACAATACATTTGTATTCTCCTCCACAGAGTCGTCAGAAGGAGCTGGAGCAGGAAGTGATGGCATGGGTGGAGGCTGTCCTGGGAGAAAAGCTCCCTCCTGGCAACTTTGAGGATGTCTTTAAGGACGGTGTTGTGCTGTGTCACCTCATCAACAAGATCGCACCCAACTCCGTCAAGAAGATCCAAACTTCTGGCGGATCTTTCAAACTCATGGAGAACATCCAGAGGTGAGAGAGAGAGAAGGAGAGAGAGGAGAGAGAGAGGGAGGAGAGAGAGAGAGGAGAGATCGAGAGAGAGAGAGAGAGAGAGAGAGAGGAGAGAGAGAGAGAGAGAGAGAGAGAGAGAGAGAGAGAGAGAGAGAGAGAGAGAGAGAGAGAGAGAGAGAGAGAAAAAAAACAGAGAGAGATACAACTATGTGTGTCTAAGCTACATGAAAGATTGGTGTTTCAGGTTCCAGGAAGCCATCAAGAAGTACGGAGTGCCCCACGAGGAGATCTTCCAGACTGCTGACCTCTTTGAGAGACGTAACATTCCTCAGGTGGTGCTCTGCCTCTACTCCCTCGGACGCATAGTGAGTACTTGTCGGCGAAATGAAAGGCAGAAAGTTAGAAAGACATGTAGGCAGGACAGAAAGCAGAGGAAACAGCCTAGCAGTAATGCACAATGGTAAGCAGGTAGGACGGTAGGGGAAAGGGGCGGTTATGTACGCTGACAGACATGAAGAAGTCAGGAGAATTATATAACACCATAAGAGATGAAGGCATATATTCTTGATCCAGGGAATTTACAGGAAAAAAATGAGGCAAATAACATTCACAAGAGCAATAACTCAAAGTTACCCTGTCTACCATGCATTTAAATATGACAAGATAGGCTATTATCACCATCCGACCTGAAGGTGTAATGTCTGGTAGGAATTTTCATTCCCAACAATACCAGGTTTGTGGAGAAAAGACACTGAGGAAGCCACTGTCTGACTGACCACCAGAAGACCTTGTAGACCGAGGTCAACCGTGAGGTGACAGAGAGAGTAGCAATGTTATCTTAGTAGCAGTGACTGGTGCTTTTCTGATTGAGTGGTTGGTGCGACGTGATAGGCCTTTGTGTACATTACTTGTTGTAATTAAATGCATCTTTGTCTTACCTATACCTGAAGCTTCGCAGCACTCGCAGTATGTGTATGAGTACTCAAGGTTTATTGTAATCTGATTTTTAACCATAAACAATTTTTTAATCGTCTTCTGTGATTTAAAAATAATTCTGAAGTTAAATAAAGTTGGATGGTCCAATTATCAACTATCCAAAGTGAAGTTGGATGGACCAGTTATCAACTATCCATACTGAAGCTGGATGGTTCATTATCAACCATACAAACTGAAGCTAGATGGTCCATTATCAGCCATCCCAGCAGAAATGTTAGTTAAAGAATTAAGAGTGTTAATAAGGCAGGTGTTTACAAAACTCAGATTGAATCTTATTTTGTCTAGTGTAAATCTCAGGCAGTTTAAGTCAGAGTGTTGTATACGTCAGAGTGTTGTATACGTCAGAGTGCTGTATACGCCAGAGTGCTGTATACGTCAGAGTGTTGTATACGCCAGAGTGTTGTATACGCCAGAGTGTTGTATACGCCAGAGTGTTGTATACGTCAGAGTGTTGTATACGTCAGTGTTGTATACGTCAGAGTGTTGTATACGTCAGAGTGCTGTATACGTCAGAGTGCTGTATACGTCAGAGTGTTGTATACGTCAGAGTGTTGTATACGTCAGTGTTGTATACGTCAGAGTGTTGTATACGTCAGAGTGCTCTATACGTCAGAGTGTTGTATACGTCAGAGTGCTGTATACGTCAGAGTGCTGTATACGTCAGAGTGTTGTATACGTCAGAGTGTTGTATACGCCAGTGTTGTATACGTCAGAGTGCTGTATACGTCAGAGTGTTGTATACGTCAGAGTGTTGTATACGTCAGAGTGTTGTATACGTCAGAGTGCTGTATACGTCAGAGTGCTGTATACGCCAGAGTGTTGTATACGTCAGAGTATTGTATACGTCAGAGTGCTGTATACGTCAGAGTGCTGTATACGTCAGTGTTGTATACGTCAGAGTGCTGTATACGTCAGAGTGTTGTATACGTCAGAGTGTTGTATACGTCAGAGTGATTTATACGTCAGAGTAGACAATAATTTTTTGTTTGTGATTAAGAATAAAGGACAAAAACTTACTACAAAAACATGGAGAAGTACTAAATCTGTAGGGCATCTTACACCTGGGAAAAGGGAGGCAATCAGGTTTGATCCAAGGGACGGTGGTTCCATTTCTTTGAATTAAGAGTCCTGAATAAAAACACATCTTTAATATAAGCATGTGTACAAAATTTTGTCTTGTAGTTCTCTCAGTACAAACGTCAAAAATTTATGAAGTTTGGTTAGCCTCTGTTTTTAAAGTCAATTAATTATTAAATCTTCTGGAGTTCACATATTCACAGAATAAAGGAATTTGGTCCGACGACTTGAAAAAAAAATCAAGAATGTGGCATCAACATACCTATGATGAAGACGAGGTGTTTTTATTCAGGACTCTTAATTAAAAGAAATGGAACCACCGTCCCTTGGATCAAACTATTATTAGTTCGTGAAAATAGTAAAATATATCGCTGAAAGTAGAGCCCAGAGGGTCACCCATAGCCACACCATAACTATATTTGCACACCAGAGAAACACACCAGACGAGCATGTTATTACAACGAAGTCGGGAAGGTAATTACCAACAACACATGTGACCAATTAGGAGTAATTAACGTGGTAAAGAACAATAATAAAGTCGCGGCAGATACTTTATCATTTAATATACAAGTTTTACAAATTTGTTGCGCGTTTTAGCATATCTTAGAAATTTTACAATAATATCCACACAGTATAGGATCGTTAGTCTCGCTGGTGTGGCTGGTCATAGTTAAGGTCCTGCGTGATTATCCTTCGTTTTATAAATTCTAGATGGTAAATTTTGAAAAGTTTTTCTGGGATGTCTAATATTACAATTAGAAAGGACGAACGAATTCATATTTCTAGAAGAATTGTTATTAGTCAAAAATGAATTTGAATTTCTTGTACTGATACTGAATAACGAATTTGTAATAATTTGAATATTTTTTAATTATTTAATATTTAAACCTTCATGAGAATATGCATCTCCAAAAACAAAACATATATATATATATATATATATATATATATATATATATATTATATATATATTTATATATATATATATATATATATATATATTATATATATATATATATATATATACATATATATATATATATATATATATATATATATATATATAAAATATTTATATATATATATTATATATATTATATATATTATATATATATATATATATATATATATATATATATATAGGTAGTAGGTTGGTAGACAGCAACCACACAGGGAGGTACTACCGTCCTGCCAAGTGAGTGTAAAACGAAAGCCTGTTAATTGTTTTACATGATGGTAGGATTGCTGATGTCTTTTGTCTGTCTCATAAACATGCAAGATTACAGGTATGTCTTGCTACTTCTACTTACACTTAGGTCGCACTACACATACATGTACACGTTCATTTATACACACTCATCTGAGTTTTCTTTGATTTTATCTTAATAGTTCTTGGTCTTATTACTTTTCCTTTTATATCCATGGGGAAGTGGAATAAGAATCTTTCCTCCGTAAGCCATGCATGTTGTAAAAGTCAACTAAAATGCCGGGAACAATGGGCTAGTAACCCCTTTTCCTGTAAAGATTACTAAAAAGAATAAGAAGAAGAAAATTGTCAAAGTGGGAAGTCTGAATGTGCGTGGATGTTATGCAGATGATAAGAAAGAGATGATTGTGGATGTTATGAATGAGAAGAAGCTGGATGTCCTGGCTTTAAGTGAAACAAAGCTGAAGGGGGTGGGAGAGTTTCAGTGGAGAGGAATAAATGGGATTAGGTCAGGGGTTTCAAATAGAGTTAGAGCTAAAGAAGGAGTAGCAATAATGTTGAAGGATAAGCTACGGCAGGAAAAGGGGGACTATAAATGTATTAATTCAAGGATTATGTGGAGTAAACTAAAGATTGGATGTGAAAAGTGGGTTATAATAAGCGTGTATGCACCTGGAGAAGAGAGAAGTGTAGAGGAGAGAGAGAGATTTTGGTAAATCTTGAGTGAATGCGTGGGGAGTTTCGAATCAAGTGTGAGAGTAATGGTGGTTGGGGATTTCAATGCTAAAGTGGGTAAAAATGTTACGGAGGGAGTAGTAGGTAAATTTGGGGTGCCAAGGGTAAATGTAAATGGGGAGCCTTTAATTGAGCTATGTGTAGAAAGATATTTGGTAATAAGTAATACATATTTTATGAAAAAGAGGATAAATAAATATACAAGGTATGATGTGGCACGTAATGAAAGTAGTTTATTAGATTATGTATTGGTGGATAAAAGGTTGATGGGTAGGCTCCAGGATGTACATGTTTATAGAGGGGCAACTGATATATCGGATCATTATTTAGTTGTAGCTACAGTTAGAGTAAGAGGTAGATGGGAAAAGAGGAAGGTGGCAACAGCAAGTAAGAGGGAGGTGAAAGTGTATAAACTAAGGGAGGAGGAAGTTCGGGTGAGATACAAGCGACTATTGGCAGAAAGGTGGGCTAGTGCAAAGATGAGTAGTGGGGGGGGGGTTGAAGAGGGTTGGAATAGTTTTTAAAAATGCAGTATTAGATGTGGGGCAGAAGTTTGTGGTTATAGGAGGGTGGGGGCAGGAGGAAAGAGGAGTGCTTGGTGGAATGATGAAGTAAAGGGTGTGATAAAAGAGAAAAAGGTAGCTTACGAGAGGTTTTTACAAAGCAGAAGTGTTATAAGAAGAGCAGAGTATATGGAGAGTAAAAGAAAGGTGAAGAGAGTGGTGAGAGAGTGCAAAAGAAGAGCAGATGATAGAGTGGGAGAGGCACTGTCAAGAAATTTTAATGAAAATAAGAAAAAAATTTGGAGTGAGTTAAACAAGTTAAGAAAGCCTAGGGAAAGTATGAATTTGTCAGTTAAAAACAGAGTAGGGGAGTTAGTAGATGGGGAGAGGGAGGTATTAGGTAGATGGCGAGAATATTTTGGGGAACTTTTAAATGTTAAGGAAGAAAGGGAGGCGGTAATTTCATGCACTGGCCAGGGAGGTATACCATCTTTTAGGAGTGAAGAAGAGCAGAATGTAAGTGTGGTGGAGGTACGTGAGGCATTACGTAGAATGAAAGGGGGTAAAGCAGCTGGAACTGATGAGATCATGACAGAAATGTTAAAAGCAGGGGGGGATATAGTGTTGGAGTGGTTGGTACTTTTGTTTAATAAATGTATGAAAGAGGGGAAGGTACCTAGGGATTGGCGGAGAGCATGTATAGTCCCTTTATATAAAGGGAAAGGGAACAAAAGAGACTGTAAAAATTATAGAGGAATATGTTTACTGAGTATACCAGGAAAAGTGTACGGTAGGGTTATAATTGAAAGAATTAGAGGTAAGACAGAATGTAGGATTGCGGATGAGCAAGGAGGTTTCAGAGTGGGTAGGGGATGTGTAGATCAAGTGTTTACATTGAAGCATATATGTGAACAGTATTTAGATAAAGGTAGGGAAGTTTTTATTGCATTTATGGATTTAGAAAAGGCATATGATAGAGTGTATAGAGGAGCAATGTGGCAGATGTTGCAAGTATATGGAATAGGTGGTAAGTTACTAAATGCTGTAAAGAGTTTTTATGAGGATAGTGAGGCTCAGGTTAGGGTGTGTAGAAGAGAGGGAGACAACTTCCCGGTAAAAGTAGGTCTTAGACAGGGATGTGTAATGTCACCATGGTTGTTTAATATATTTATAGATGGGGTTGTAAAAGAAGTAAATGCTAGGGTGTTCGGGAGAGGGGTGGGATTAAATTTTGGGGAACCAAATTCAAAATGGGAATTGACACAGTTACTTTTTGCTGATGATACTGTGCTTATGGGAGATTCTAAAGAAAAATTGCAAAGGTTAGTGGATGAGTTTGGGAATGTGTGTAAAGGTAGAAAGTTGAAAGTGAACATGAAAAAGTAAGGTGATGAGGGTGTCAAATGATTTAGATAAAGAAAAATTGGATATCAAATTGGGGAGGAGGAGTATGGAAGAAGTGAATGTTTTCAGATACTTGGAAGTTGACGTGTCGGCGGATGGATTTATGAAGGATGAGGTTAATCATAGAATTGATGAGGGAAAAAAGGTGAGTGGTGCGTTGAGGTACATGTGGAGTCAAGAAAACGTTATCTATGGAGGCAAAGAAGGGAATGTATGAAAGTATAGTAGTACCAACACTCTTGTATGGGTGTGAAGCTTGGGTGGTAAATGCAGCAGCGAGGAGACGGTTGGAGGCAGTGGAGATGTCCTGTTTAAGGGCAATGTGTGGTGTAAATATTATGCAGAAAATTCGGAGTGTGGAAATTAGGAAAAGGTGTGGAGTTAATAAAAGTATTAGTCAGAGGGCAGAAGAGGGGTTGTTGAGGTGGTTTGGTCATTTAGAGAGAATGGATCAAAGTAGAATGACATGGAAAACATATAAATCTATAGGGGAAGGAATGCGGGATAGGGGTCGTTCTCGAAAGGGTTGGAGAGAGGGGGTAAAGGAGGTTTTGTGGGCAAGGGCCTGGACTTCCAGCAAGCGTGCGTGAGCGTGTTAGATAGGAGTGAATGGAGACGAATGGTACTTGGGACATGACGATCTGTTGGAGTGTGAGCAGGGTAATATTTAGTGAAGGGATTTCAGGGAAACCGGTTATTATATATAACCGGACTTGAGTCCTGGAAATGGGAAGTACAATGCCTGCACTTTAAAGGAGGGGTTTGGGATATTGGCAGTTTGGAGGGATATGTTGTGTATCTTTATATGTGTATGCTTCTAAACTGTTGTATTCTGAGCACCTCTGCAAAAACAGTGATAATGTGTGAGTGTGGTGAAAGTGTTGAATGATGATGAAAGTATTTTCTTTTTGGGGATTTTGTTTCTTTTTTGGGTCACCCTGCCTCGGTGGGAGACGACCGACTTGTTGAAAAAAAATATATATATATATATGTATATCAGTGCAAATATCTATTTCCTCTTTTAATGGAATGTTTGTGATTAAAGACTCGACATAGAATTTGGACAGAATTTTGAAATATATTTAAGAAAATTAACAGCATTCTTGACTGTATATTTCTTCATGGTTAAGTCCACTAATATCGTGACTAAAAATTTAGCTAAGTCAAAATTAAATATACAGTTAATAGTCAAAATGGGACGGATTGGAACTTTCTTTATGAGTCTCTGAAAACCCATATATTGTATTAGCTTATTTGGAGAAATTGCCACAAAATCTATGAAGAGTGAAACAATACCTTGACTTTATTTACTGTAAATAAAGCTAATAGTGCCATTAATAACTCATTGCAGTTGTTGTTAGATGTAGACGTGTGAATGGTTCATTGCCTTTGTAATTTGTTCAGCCATCAACTTTATAGCCCGGTCCCTGGACCCATTATGTACCTCTGTAATCTCTTTGACCCATTATGCACCTCATACCCACAGGATGGGTATGAGGTGCTTAATAAAGATATTAAACTTACCTTACTATCTTCAGTGTGAAATATAAAACATTGCTGCTTCATATAATGAATATATGTTCAGTTTGTTGCGGCGTATCACAATATAATGAAACTGTTTCCACAGACGCAGAAACACCCGGAGTACACAGGACCACGTTTGGGACCCAAGATGGCAGAGGAACAGAAGCGAGAGTGGGATGAAGACCAGCAGAGGATGCTGAGGGATGGCCAGATAGGCCTCCAGATGGGACAGAACAAGGGCGCCACCCAGGCAGGCCTCGGCTCCATGGGCAACACGCGCCATATGTAAAAGACTTCGACAGTATCAGCAGCGTGCAGTATACTCTTCTTCTATTATCATTAACATTCAGTATCATCTTTCTCCTCTGTTTACTACCAACAACATTCAGCTACCGTCTTTTCATCCTCTATCATCAGCAATGTTCAGCGAACTCCTCTGCTCTATTGCAAAGTCTGAAGTCCTCTTCTTGTTTGCCATCAACAGCGTAGTCCTTCATCTTCTTGTGAACAATCTGCAAAGTCCAACGTCTAAGTTCTATTCACGTTAGCTCTAAAGAAGACCTGTCCTTCATCTCGTGCTCATCTACTTTGCCCTTATGGAGCGTCAATGTTCCTGTGCAGTAGAGATTAGGCTTCCAGTGATGAATCATTTTTACAGGGTACTGCTGCTCTTCCTGGCTGCTGCTGATCTTGCAGCAGCAGCCGCTCATTCTCCGCTGTCACATAGCTTGCAATAGGAACCCGAGACTTCCAGGTACTTCTGCTATTACGTATAAAACAAACTTTCAGCAATGGAGACGAGAGCGAAGCTCGAACTCACAACTAACCCGCAAATTGGACATGAGAACGAGACGATGTACCGGTCCGTCGACGACTATTTCTGTGACGCCAGTGAGGTGTTGTAAATTCTTACAGCTACTCTACTGTGACTTATATTCTTCACCGATCCTTCAACATGGAAAACACTCTTTTCCAGCAGCTTGCTGGGTAAACATTTTCCTGAGAGCTGCAGCCGGTCTCTTTATTGTCTCGTGAAGCAGCACTTCAGCTACATTTTCTTAAGACAGTTCAGCTGGCGAGGAAGGAAGGCAGCGACCATTAAATGTAAATATATATATATATATAGTTTGCTCGGGAAAAAAATTAAGCAATGTTATTTTTTTACTTTCCTTTCGTGTTAGCATTTTAAGTTCGATGTTGATGTTTGGGAGTTTGTGGTTTATTATGAAGCTCGATTGACGCTGAGGTCCGGAACTTAAATGGAAGTTAGCGCTCTCTTTCTTTCTCTCTAAGATCTGACAACTCCTGACCTCTGCGTTGACTCTCAGCATGACAGCCTCCCTCATTACATATTAATGTTTACCTATTCTAGAACCTGACAGTCAGCCATGCCGCTGTCATCCACCCGAGACAACGATAGTCGCCGCTATCATCCACCTGAGTGAATGATACACCCCAATGACGCTGTCATCCATCGGCGAGAATGATAGACGCCACTATCATTCACCCGAAAGAACGATAGACGCCGCTAATCATCCGCCCGAGAGAACGATAGATGCCGCTATCATCCATCTCAAAGAATGATAGACATCATCTCAGATTTTGGCTTAAGCTGTGAATTATACTAATTTAGCAACTATATGTCAGGGCAAATAAGCAGCGGCCTTACTAACAGCATTTGTTGTTTAAGCAACCATACCCAGAGCCTAGAGGACCCAGAGCCTAGTGGACCCAGAGCCTAGTGGACCCAGAGCCTAGTGGACCCAGAGCCTAGTGGACCCAGAGCCTAGTGGACCCAGAGCCTAGCGGACCCACAACCTATTAGACCCAGAGCCTAGAGGACCCAGAGCCTAGTGGACCCAGAGTCTAGTAGACCCAGAGCCTAGTGGACCCAGAGCCTAGTGGACCCAGAGCCTAGTGGACCCAGAGCCTAGTGAACCCAGAGCCTAGCGGACCCACAACCTAGTGGACCCAGAGCCTAGCGGGCCCACAGCCTAGCGGGCCCACAGCCTAGCGGGCTCGGAGCTTCGCAGGCCCTAAACCCAGGTTTGAGATATTTTCCTGCCCATGGCAGTTCTTGGTCTCACGGGGGCCCGTAGCTCAGTTCTAGGAGCCTACAGCTTAGCTTAGATAAACCTCGGGGGCCCACAGCAATTCTGAGACACCTCAGGGGCCCACAACCTAGTATTGGGACACCTCGGGAGGGCCCACAACCCAACTATGGGACGACACTTGCTAAATCATTAACCTTCAGTATTATCATTTGCTTGTATTTTATTACTCAATAAATCATAATCACTCAGTTATTATGTTTCTTGTCCTTTTATTGACAATAAAGCAAACACTGGCCTGATAACAAACTTTTAAAACACGCACATACACACACACACACACACAAACACATATCGGATTCATACATAGCTTTAAGAACAGGTACGATGAGGTCCTCAAGGCTAGGAGAAAGTGAATGTAGCAAACGGCACGTTCAGAGGAGGGGCCAAGAGCTGAGATTCAACCCCTGCAACCACAAATAGGTTGTGGATAAATAGGTTGGTACAAGAAGATAATTGGACATCTATATACCTGGTTATGCTACTGGTTATATTCTTGGCTATATACCTGGAGATATACCTGGCTATATATCTGGCCATATACCTGGCTATATACCTGGCCATATACCTGGCTATATATCTGGCCATATACCTGGCTATATACCTGGCTATATACCTGGCTATATACCTGGCTATATACCTGGCTATATACCTGGCTATATACCTGGCTATATACCTGGCTATATACCTGGCTATATACCTAGCTATATACCTGGCTATATACCTGGCTATATACCTGGCTATATACCTGGCTATATACCTGGCTATATACCTGGCTATATACCTGGCTATATACCTGGCTATATACCTGGCTATATACCTGGCTATATACCTGGCTATATACCTGGATATATACCTGGCTATATACCTGGCTATATACCTGGCTATATACCTGGCTATATACCTGGCTATATACCTGGCTATATACCTGGCTATATACCTGGCTATATACCTGGCTATATACCTGGCTATATACCTGGCTATATACCTGGATATATACCTGGCTATATACCTGGCTATATACCTGGCTATATACCTGGCTATATACCTGGCTATATACCTGGCTATATACCTGGCTATATACCTGGCTATATACCTGGCTATATACCTGGCTATATACCTGGATATATACCTGGCTATATACCTGGATATATACCTGGCTATATACCTGGCTATATACCTGGCTATATACCTGGCTATATACCTGGCTATATACCTGGCTATATACCTGGCTATATACCTGGCTATATACCTGGCTATATACCTGGCTATATACCTGGCTATATACCTGGCCATATACCTGGCTATATACCTGGATATATACCTGGAAAATAACACAATTCGCATGTGAATATAAAATAAAGTTAAATATCATCTTAACATGATTATCTGACAATAATCATAATTATCATTATCATCATCTTGGTTAATCGCTAAACCCGTAAGGGTCTACAGCGAACGGAGACTGGGACATGATCAGGAGGATAACTCTGATTCCCTGGATCAAGAGCCTTTCACCATCACCAAGATTCCCCCCAAATTTTTTAATATATATATGTATATATATATATATATATATATATATATATATATATAATATATATAATGTATATGTATATATATATATATATATATATATATATAAATGTATATGTATATATATATATATATATATATATATATATATATATATAAATGTATATGTATATATATATATATATAATATATATATATATATATAAATGTATATGTATATATATATATATATATTATATATATATATATATATATATATATATATATATATATATATATATATATATATATATATATATATATATATATATATATATATATATATATATATATAGTATTAGCATTGTTGTAAGGTTAGGTCAGGTTGTGGCAGTAACGAGGAAATTTCATTATTTTTGCCTGATTAGAACCTCCTGGCATAACTAAGTTCACAAACATGTCTTGGACGCACTCTCATGCATACACACACTTTTCTCCCCCTGTGGTGACACATATGTGTCCTGTGAGCCTGTACACTTCTTATTATCTCTCTCTCTGGTGAGAGGCGGGAGATGTGTTGTAGCAGAGAGCCTGGAAAAGGTACAATAATAAGAAATATGTAGAGAGCAGCAGAGCAGGAGAGTGACCAGTAATCCCAGGTGAAGCGGGCGAGCGGCGGTGCCAGGACGAGCCACTGTGGACTCGATAAGCAACATTCCCAGGCTGATGGTTGGGTAATGAGGAGAGCCGGCCCGCTCAAGTGGTCATCGCCGGCCCACAGCGCTTCACACAGGCTTTTTGTTGCCGCGAAAACACCCGAGATATACAGGCGGCCGCTATTACATGCATCAGGTGGTTCCCGCCGCTTATTGAACGGTTTCTGCGGGTCTGGTACCCTACACTACCTTCCCCCCAAGGACCCGGTCCGGCACCCGCCGCTGGACGGCCCGGGTCATGCTAGCCTCAGGGTCCCCTCTGGTAAGCGCCCTAGGAGCACCCCCAGGGTAACCCAGCACACCAGGCACGCAAACACCCTATTTCAATCTTCATTGAAGTGATTCCGAACGCGGTTGCATCGATACAACGGAATTACAAGTAAAATTGGAAACTACTGGACGGTTCCCGTAGTAGGCTTTCCAGAGAGACATCTTGTCATTGTCATCAGCGTTTACTACGAACCGTGGCACAACATGCAAACCATAATTAACTTCATGCATTGCTCTTCCCGTTTCATTATGACGCTCTATATTTACTTCTTCTAATTTTCTAGGAATCCCTTTATTTTGTACTTTACTGCAGGTAGATATGCGGCACCTGTAATTACTGAGGGTCGTCTCGCCTTGGCACTTTATGATAATTGACGCCATAATGACACAGACGCGCTCGTGGCACTCTCAGTAACAAGATGTTTACAGCTGTTGTTTTTGCTGTTCCTCCCGTGTTAAGAGGGCCTTTTTACCCTCATTTTCTTAACGGGTGACATTTGTATTCACTGGGCAATCGCAGCGAGGTAACTCATGGCTATCTGGAAGCCTATCGAAGCCAATCACTAACTCTTCTTCTCTAATCTAGGAGCTATTTTTCCCCTTCTTGCTCTGGGAACTCTCATGGCTTCGTTGCCAGTATTTTGGATTCTAGTTTGAAGCACTGCTGAAGGCCTACTGGCCAATGTTAGGCAAGTCCAAGTCACACCCACACTCACTCATGTACATGTCTAGCTTATTTTTAAAGCTCCACAAGGTTTTAGCTTCACTGACGCTTCGCCTTTCAGAATGTGTTCGAAATTCCTTCGGAACTGTTGGAAAATGTATGAAATACCGACGAGTTGAAGATTAAGACACATATGAAGAATTGAGACACTTATGCAACACATGGGAATCTTTATTGAAGAAACGTTTCGCCACACAGTGGCTTCATCAGTCCAATACAAAGTAGAAATGGGTAAGGAGAGTAGAAGTTTGAGGTAATCAGTCCCTCAACCTGGAATCGATGTGTTCAGTTCATCACTCTTGTAGGAAGTGCAGCACAGGGCCAGAGAGGTGGCTTATATACTGCGATGAGATGAGTTGAAGCAGGAGGAGGCGGGATCACAGTGGCAGGTCCCACTGTGATCCCGCCTCCTCCTGCTTGTTGATGGACTGATAACATCATTGATGTATCAGTCAGTCCATTATTGTTGATAGTCTAACTGACATAGTTCTGAAGAAGTTATTGTATGGCGAAACGTTTCCAGAATAAAGATACCCAAGGACAAGTGTCTCATATATCAACTACTTCGCATGTAATGGATAATAAAAAAAGGGGACACATATTCCTCATTTATATGTGGGAGGATCACTCATCACCCAGAGAAAGTGAATGTGACCTGACCTAACTAGGTTAGGGCATTGGCTTAAACCGGTAGGAGACTTAAGAACATAAGAACGAAGGAACACTGCAGAAGGCCTACTGGCCCATGCGAGGCAGGTCCAAGTCTCCTACCGGCTTAAGCCAATGCACCCAACCTAGTCAGGTCAGGTCACATTGACTTAAGGGAGGAACACGGCAACCGACCTGTTAGCACAAGCTATCAGGTCTAACTCACACCCACCCACATCTACTCATGTATTTATCCAACCTATTTTTAAAGCTACACAACGTTCTGGCCTCTATAACGGTACTTGGGAGTTTGTTCCACTCATCCACAACTCTATTACCAAACCAGTACTTTCCTATATCCTTCCTGAATCTGAATTTTTCCAACTTAAAACCATTGCTGCGAGTCCTGTCTAGGCTAGATATTTTCAGCACACTATTTACATCCCCTTTATTTATTCCTGTCTTCCACTTATACACCTCAATCATATCCCCCCTAATTCTACGTCTTTCTAGAGAGTGCAGTTTCAGGGCCCTTAGTCTATCCTCATAGGGAAGGTTTCTGATACATGGGATCATCTTTGTCATCCTCCTTTGTACATTTTCCAGAGAATTTATATCCATTCTGTAATACGGTGACCAAAACTGTGCAGCATAATCTAAATGAGGCCTAACCAAGGATGTATAGAGTTGAAGAACAACCTGAGGACTCCTATTATTTATGCTTCTTGATATGAAGCCAAGGATTCTATTAGCTTTATTGCGAACACTTATGCACTGTTGTCTTGGTTTCAGATTACTGCTAACCAGAACTCCTAAATCTTTTTCGCAATCCGTAATATTAAGATCTACATTATTTAGTTTATATGTGGCATGGTTATTGTCCTGTCCAACATTTAGACCTTTGCATTTGTCTATATTAAACTGCATCTGCCACTTCTCCGACCACTGCATCAGTCTATTCAAATCTTCCTGGAGTGCTCGAATGTCCTCGTCAGAATGAATTCGACGGCCTATTTTGGTGTCATCGGCAAACTTGCCGATGTCGCTCTTTATGCCCTCATCTATGTCGTTTATGTAGATTGTGAACAGCAGGGGGCCCAACACTGACCCCTGTGGAACACCGCTCGTGACTCTTCCCCACTCTGATTTCTCCCCATTTATGCAAACTCTCTGCTGCCTATTTGTCAACCATGCCTCTATCCAGGAAAAAATTTCTCCTCCTATTCCATGTGCTTTAATTTTCCTCAATAGTCTCTGATGTGGGACCCTGTCAAAAGCCTTACTGAAGTCCATATACACAATATCATATTCATTACCA